TACCGGTTAGCCAGTGTGCTACCCTGTGGCCTATATTAAAGAGACCTGCCAAAAAGGTGCAGATATTAATTCGACATTGTTTGATTTGAGTACATAAATGTCACCGAAGAAAACGCTGGAAGTTCCTACACAGCATTTCAGACGTCTAACTCAAGGGTCACATCACAGGATGCTTATTATATGGAACATGCCTGTATAATCTTGTGTTTCTATGGAACATGCGTGCGTAGTCTTGTGTTTCTTTTCTCGGGTGTCGCATGCTGGGGGTAAATCGTCCATGCAAGCACATGTCATTCGTGTTTGTACAGCTGATTCCACTTGCTGAATATGGCGAGACCAGGTGGTAGCTTTAGCAGGGCAGCCGGAATTACCCCCCCCCCCCAAATCCCAATTTTAACTCTTTCATTACCATAATATTTGGCAGTAAATACCCAAGTGGGAACAATTTCGAACCCAACAAGGGATCTAAGCTCGGTGAATAGGGTCACTAGAGTAGGCTGGCTCACCGCCAACTCTAGATTACGCCATCTAACTAAATCACGTGACTTTTTGGATGGAGTCCCTCGAAAACTGGTTAGTGTAAGCCCTTTCCATGTGTTGCATTGTGTGACATTTTAATGTGCTTGCAAAGTTCTGTGTTCTGAATGAGTTCGTATTACATATCTACAAGTGGATATTCTGAAGTAGATATACAAGATTTTCAAACTTTGCTGTTAGATTACAGCAATTTGAATTTAAATTCACGGGAGACGGTCGTGTTGCGATGTGTGTGTCACTGTTTCTAGTCAGTAGTTTGGATTTTTGGGAACTGGCTGTTTATTCTTTTTCTACTTTGAATGTGGAAAACTTACTTTTAGGGAAAATACTTTAAACAGTTAATTTAGAAGCCATATCTGGAGAATATCGACAGTTGTCAGGTGCAAACTATCTTGTGTTTATAGCTAAAGATGGCCGTGGCTGGCTCTGCACAACTTGGTGGAATACTGATGCATGATAAGGCAGACGTGGTTAGTGCCTTGTGGGAGAGCATGGACAGTTCGGAGGAGCAGATGGATCACCACAGTCTGATGAGATTGATGCAGTGGGGAGTGACGAGAGGTTCTGGCAGATGCTCGAGGCTCAGAGGAAAGGCAAGACGGACGTTTAATCAGAATGCTACTGTCACCATTAGTATCGGAACTCTTCACTGGCTGCTGAGGATGGGGACGGAGCGCTTATGGTAATGCCCCGAGTGCTGTGATGTCGGTTCTTGACTCAACTCAACTCCAGTAGGCAGATTTCTTCAATATGCCCTCTAGTTGGGGTGGGGGGGGGGGGGGGGGGTCGACGCCCCAGACGAATTGTAACATTCCCATCGGAGACCTATTTTTAGGGGTGGCAAGGGGGGGGGGGGGGGTAAATACACTGCCCTCCTAACAATCATGTCGTAAAAGTCGAATAATTAGAGGTGTTTCCTTCGAAGTCGGAGTGCATCTCTCTGGTAGGCGAGGAGCCAACGCAACAGCCTGCTTACAGACAAACCAGGTCTTCAAAACTGATGTGCACGCAAAACTCAAGTTCTTGCAGGGTTAGCGGCAGGCAAATATGTTAGATAGAAGAAAGTTGCCACTGTCGGTGGGCGAACAAACACTCAGCAGGCACACACCGAGCCATATGTTGGTCCAACAGTTCTTTCGTGTTTAAACGCCTTTTATGTGCAGTAATTCGTCCGTGCGCTGACGGGAACGCAGTCAAGCACATCCGTATCCCGCACTGATTCATGGGTTTGTTGGTATTTCGGAACTGGTAACGAACTCAGGCCCAGCTACACACTAGCTGACCTGTCATTGATAATTAGTCAGGCTGGTGTACGTTAGAGGGGTGTAGCATGCACTCTGTCGTGAGACCTAGGTTCAGTGTTTGGGGTATGGGGGTTGGGGTTAGGACCTGTTGTACATGTTATGGATTCGTTACAACCGCTGAAATCCTGTAATATAGAGCACGCGTGGTCGCCGGTAAGACCGTCAAGACAATACAACGTCGCACCAGCCTGACATCCTTGCCACTTGAACCTGGTTAACACACATGAATGAACGTCCAATCACAGAGTCCTGGCCCGACCTAGTCACTCATAAGTGTGTAGCTGGGCGGAGCTGGGCCTGAGTTCGTTAAATGTTCCGGTATTTCTTGTTGCACAGCACGCCAGCTGATTCCATTCACGCTTCTGTGGTTGGAAGTTGTGCTGACACACTTAAGAAAATAACCTCTTATCTTCCCTCTCCCCTTTTATTTTACTCCTCCAGCTTCTTCTTATCATCCTCCTCCCCCTTTCTCCTTCTTCTCAATTTCTTTTACACAAAAATGTGAAAAATTAATGATGGAAAGGGACGATTGAAAGATGGGTCCTGCCTGCCAAATTAATTTCCCTTTGAAAATAAGATTAAATTTCATTCGTTTGCTTCTTCTTCCCCCTTCTCCGCCTACTGTTCTTTCTTCTTCTTCTTCTTCTTCTTCTTCTTCTTCTGCTTTTTCTTCTTCCTCTTCTTTTTTTCCTTCTTCTTCTTCTTCTTCTTTTTTCTTCTTCTTTTTTCTTCTTCTTCTTCTTCTTCTTCTTCTTCCCTTTCAACTTCTGTTGCTAATGTTTCTTTTCCTCCTTTTGTTTCCTCTTCCATCTTCTACTGGAGCATATAAACCTAATTAACTGAACGCCAGCTCCACTTTTGACATGGTCATAATTGATTGGACCTTGCAGCTGAATTGTCAGCTAGCCAGGAAATGGCCAGAAAAAAGCCAACATTCTTTAGTTACTGTTTTGTGCTTCCTTTCTGACCCCTTGATTCACGACCAGTTTGTTGCAGTCCTACTGAAGAGAGATTGTGGAGGCAAGAGAATACGAAGTGGGCAATGGTACTGGTGGGTAAACAGCATACAGAGGGTTTGATTTAGTTTTAAACAACGATCAACATCACGGCACACGGGTAGAGTAAGCCATAAGTGCTCCGTTCTACTTCTGACTCAAGCCTGAGTCCGAAAAATCTCTGCGCAGTGCACGAACACCGTAGCACCCGCGAGGACCCTGAAATACTTTAGGTAGATTTTTAACTCAAAATTTTGCCCGGCGGTGCCGTTAAGCTGCTCATTTCGATTTCCAACTGTCAATGGAATCCTTTTTTTTTAACCTGCGCAACAATACACACGGGCATATTTGATCTTATTACCCTGAGACCAGGGAAAATGAAGACCTCATCCCGGTATCTCCAGCACTAGAGACGGACGCGATGCCTCGATACAACTCAGCGCGCCCCCCCCCCCCCCCCCCCCCTGTTTCCCCAGCATACAGAAATAAACTAAAAATAGTTTGCCTATACCGCCTGCCTGCAAACCTACCCATTTACTTTTCTGCGTTCTCATCTGTCTGTATCCTTAAGGTCATCGAATACAGGACTCTTGTTTTCCACTTCTCGGTACGGAAGACCTGATATTACTATTATAGCAAACTCACTCAACGATATGAGCCTAATTCATTGTAGGTTATTAGCTGTTTAATGTTGTTCTTGATTCTGTTAGTGTTTGTTGCTATTGTTGTGTGCAGTAGGTGTCTTTCAGTTGTTTAAGCAGTTGGTAAGCTCTTATAATACTTTTTCTCATTTATCACTTTATTGTTTTAAACTCTTTGTCATTGCTGTTTGCACTTTGAATGTATGTCTCTTTATCTGTTTTCTTGTATGCTGCAATGGAGTATTTTACCAGTTACCCATTGTTCCACATTTCTTTGTTGTTCTTTCTGTATGGTATTAACAGTGTCTTTTGACTTTTCACTTAATGAAGTTTTTAATTGCTTACCTTTCTAGTGTGCATGCAGTGAAGGATTTATTATGTCTTTCATTAATTCACTGCATTCCTGTATCACTGTGAACATAGAGGACCCTTTTATGCCTTTAGACGTTTTGGGCATATAGGGCTAGACCCGTATCTTTTAGACCAATCAGCATTTAGTGGGTGATATGATCAGCATCAGTTGGCCACCTTCACTTCCCAGAAATTCACCTGATACTCATTTAAGGTTGGGTCGACTTGGGAGCCAAGGTAATTTTGTAAGAGAAAAAAAGTCTGGCTCCATTCGGATTTAAACCTATGGCCTTCGGATCTGCAGGCAGGCGTCTAGCTGCTACACCATGACAGCTGTCTTGTATCACTGTAGGATCCTAATTTAATTGAATTCCTGTTTTTTCACCACTATGTTTTTTTTCAGTTAGATTAAGAAGTTCACCATGACTGAGTCATGTGTGGACTTATAAAGGGTTGGAGGGTTACTGGAGAGGAGGTGGTGGTAAGGGTGATTGGGGAGGGGATGGGGGTGAGGAGTAATGTGTGTGTGACAGGTTGTAGCTCTCCTTGTGTATTCAAAGGCCCCATTTTGGGGGCAAAAAGATAGCCAACTCCCCGTCCCCCGTTACAAGTGTTTTGTAAGAGATGACTTATTGAGAGTTTGTTGAAGTTAAATATGTTGGGCTCAAAGACGTTCATCCTAGTCACAATATAGAACTGTAGATAAATTATGTAAAAATCTTATTTTACACTGGGTGTCTACTAAACTTTATAGTAGTAACTTACTGTGGGAAACGTTTTCTTTGTCTATAAAATATACATCCAGTAGATGCACTGTTTTTGTTCCATGCACCGTTTTTGTTCCAACACAGCGTTTTTGTTCAAAGCATCATTTTTGTTCCATGCACCGTTTTTGTTCCGTGCACTGTTTTTGTTACATGCACCGTTTTTGTTCCATGCACTGTTTTTGCTCCATGCACCGTTTCATATCTTGCCATGAATTATTGTGGAAAGTTGCAGTTCGTATCCCGGTGTCAGAAGTGTTGTGGCTGATTTCAGCTTGTGTATATGTAGGAAGGATGTGGTTTTCAGTCCACCTGTTCCTTCTCACACAACTTATCCAGTACCTTATTTTGTGCATTGCTTTGTTTCAGTACTTTCTCTGTTGTCCTCCACAGCATGAACATGAAAACATGGATCAGATTCTAGAAGGCTTGTTCAACTCAGACCAGCCTGACAAACTAAAGGAGGCATTTGTGGCCAGGATATGTGAACAAGGCACACAGGGCTCCCAGAATGAACATACAGTCAGAGGTGTCCTGCAGGTGAGTGGGCTCAGGCTGTTGACATACTGTAGACATTGTTTGTTAGGTGGGTCCAGACTGTTGGCATTGTTGGGCGTGTCCAGACTGTTGTCATTTCTGGGTGCGTCCAGACTGTTGACAGACTGTAGACAGTGTTTATTGAATGGGTCCAGACTGTTGACATTATTGTTTAGTGAGTTCCTGCTGTGGACATACTGTAGACATTGTTTGTTGAGTGGATCCAGACTGTTGACACACTGTAGACAGTGTTTGTGGAGTGGGTCCAGACTGTAGATATTGTGGAGTGGGTCCAGACTTTTGACAGACTGTAGACATTGTGGAGTGGGTCCAGACTTTTGACAGACTGTAGACACTGTGTTGTGGGACCAGACTGTAGACATTGTGGAGTGGGTCCAGACTTTTGACAGACTGTAGACACTGTGTTGTGGGACCAGACTGTAGACATTGGAGGAGTGGTCCAAACTGTTGACTGACTGCAGAAATTGTTGTTTCTTGAGTGGGTCTTATTTTTTCAGACTATAGAAATTGTTGTGTCTTCTTTTTATGGGTGGGTGCGCATGCTTGCTTACACATACGTATGTATAGTTTATGTTGCGTTAAAATGTGGCTAAGCATTTGCTGAATGGTCTATCCCATCATAGCACAAGATTGTTCTTCTTGTGCCCTCCCTCATTGTGCAGATTGTTCTTCTTGTGCCCTCCCTCGTTGTGCATCTCTGAAACCAAACCACACCTGATACGTTTATGTCCCCACCTCTAGGTGAGCAGCAGATGGATTCTCAATGGGACTACAACACTGCAGGTGAAATCAGGCTTTCTTTTGTTGAAATCCTGGGGCAGCCGCAGTCGGGATGTCTTTCACTCGTTCTTCACTCCCAACCTGGTGGCTGAAATGTTGACTCATGGGTTTGGAGGCATGGAGGCTAATGTACCCTTGCTTCTAAGAGAAGGTGAGTAGTTTGTCTTTATAATTTATGATATTCTGTAGCTAATTTACCATATTTGTTCATGAACAATGATGTCTCTCCCTCACTCTTCCCAGGCCAACTTTTTTTTAAGGAATTACAGCCAGGAGGACACACAAGACAACATAGCAATCGAAAACCTAGCTAGCACACTGGGAATAAGACATGTTACAGCGCTTTGCTACAGGAATAACAATACTGGTACTCATAGATGTTGTTAGTTGCATATCCTTTACAGGATGTTGCAGAACCAACCCCAGCATTGGCTGTTGTGGTTTTTCTAGACAAATTTACATCCAGTAGTTTACCATTGCTTTCTGGACGGTTAGCTTCTCAGTACCACTGTCAAAACCAAATCAAGACCCCCAGCTAGGATCGAACCCGGCACCCCGGCATTACGAAGCGCCTACGCAATGCCTTAGCCAAGACACCCACCTCAGATGTAGCAGAAGAAATTTCAGGCTAGAAGAGAACACATAGACAATATATAAATTGAAAGCAGTGAAATATAAGAAAGAGACAGTCTGTGATCTTTTATTATGTGATGAGAAGAGAGGCATTGGAGAACATCATGATGACTGGAAAGATCAGTGGTAGAAGAGGCAGAGGCAGATCAAGAGATAAATGATGCTTGATAGCCTGAAGCAATGGCATATGCGGAATGTCATAGGTGGAATTGATTCAAATCACCAGTGACCAAGATCTGTCTTTCGGTCATTGGCACTATAAACTCCTTTGCCAAAACTGCCAATTACGGTTGTGTTTGCCACTTGTTTATGTGTGTGTTGGGAGAGGAGGGGAGTCTTTGCAGTGGTCCTAGGAAAATCTCAGGAACAAATGAAAGCACAATTTGTCACAGAAGCTTGACAAATGGGAGGGACAGACAAATACACAAATTAACACTTGATGGCTGGTGTAAAAAAATCTACTAAACCTATGTAGGTGTACAAGATTAAAGCACACAGTTTTAAAGCACACAGTTTAAAAGCATACAGCGTGTAGCTTAACTGATATTACACAGAAATACACTCCAAGCAAGACAGGTTGAGCACCTGATCCATTTTTATTTTGTGTGTGTATACATCATACCTATGAGCTGTGGTCCCTCATTGTATAGAAAACAAAGAATGACTCACTGCCTTCACAAAAAGCGTGTCGTAGGAGTTGACTAATTTGGGGCTTCATTTGAAGACAGGGTGCATCTGCCAGAATGGCAAGAAACCAACAGTCTGCATACTGTTAATCCAGATCTGTAAATTGGATGTGCGTGCAACACGAAGCTTCCAGAGGTGGATGAAGAGCCAGAACTTTTCGCTGGAGTTTACAGCCGGTGGACGTGAAGAAGAAGAAGAAAAAGAAGAAAAAAGTGTTGCAGGTGTAGTCAGTGTCAGCAGCTTGGGGGTTACAAACAGCTTGTAGTTCTGAAATACTTGGTTTGATTCAGCGGCAGGCATTTTGGCAGCTGATACTTGTGTGTTCATTTCTAGGTCTTTTTTCCTTCTCATCTTCTTCTTCCTCCTCCTTCTTTTCCCCTTCTTCCTCCTCCTCCTCCTCCTCTTGCTCTTCTTCTTTTTTCCCTTCTTCTTCTTCCTCTTCTTCGTCTTGTTTTTGTTCTTCTTTTTTTCCTCCTCCTCTTCTTCTTCTTTGTAGTTTGTTATGCTCAAGTTATCAGTTGAGTTGCCTCCATGAATCACTACATCAGCAGCAAGCTCCAGGGAGCCCCCAAAGTGTGTCTTGAATACCTCTTTCCTGTGGCCATGTGTTTTTCTTGCAGGCCTTGATTTTGACCATAGAATTTCCTGTGGTTTCGTGACTCTTTTTTTGATAGAAAATAATAGACCAACTTCCCCCCTAATCAGCATGTTGTGCAAGGCAACTGATTATCAGTGTTTCCCTTGAAGTATTAGGAACCAACAATCTGCATAGACATCAGCTAGATCTGTAAAACAAATGTGTACACAAAACTAAAAATTTTGGAACATGACTATAAAGTTCAGAAGTGGACAAACAACAAGAATTTTCTACTAGAATTTACAGCTGGCGAACGATACAGAGAAGAAGACAATGGTATGGAGATCCGATCGTTCGGAGAGCAGTGGCAAACTACTTAATGTAAACTTGCCTGATAAAACCACAAACGGCCAGTAAATGCTGGCGTTGATTTACAACAGCCTTTACAGCAAGCCACATCTGGCCCGCAGAGACCTAGCAATTGGCCCATAGATCATTGCCAGTTTTGTTGTATTAATAGATTTCTTTGCTAGTGCTCGGCCATCTGGCCCGTTAAGATCACCATTTTCAAACTGCTGGCCCCTGAGTAAACTTAGTTGAATGGCTCTGCTCTACAGGATACACAATTGACTTCATCATGTGCCTTTATGTCTGGTTAGGTAATCCTGCTTTTCCACATCTAGCAGTCTTCGTCAGCATGTATCCATTCTTGTTTTGGCCCCCTTCTTGTCATGATAAAAGACTAGCAAATACCTTCTTATAATGTCTTTCTCTGTGTCTCTGTGCATGAAAATTCCTAGTTTACACAACCTATTGAAGTTTTCTTCTTCTCATAATATCTGTTCTTTGGCCACATAATAAGAAGAGAGATATTGGAGAACATTGTGACGACTGGAAAGATCAGTGGGAAGAGAGGTAGATGCAGACTAAGAGAGATAATGCTGGATGGGCTGAAATGAGGGCATGGAGGGATATCATCAAGAGAGCTGTTCCATTCAAGCAGGGATCGTGATCTGTGGAGACGCATGAGCGCCTACGCCAGTTGGCAGGGCATATGGTGATTATGATGATAATATAGCTAAAACAGTTATCGCTGTGTCTTTCTGATGTTTGCAAAAGGTTTTTTTTATCATACCTAAGTCTCTGTCAGAATATTTAAATAACTCTTGCAATTGCTGTATGAAAGATGGGTGTTTGGAAGGGCTGAATGTAAGGTGGGACCTGGATGACCAGTTTGCTGCGACTGTTTAAAACTAGTTTGGTCATTCATTTGTTGAAGGAATTTTCAGCATGCTTCTGCAGGACCAAAGCACTGACACCTTAAGGGGTTTTTCTCTCATATTTATCTTTATTTTATGTATAGAATTGACTTTTTCATTTTTTGTAGTTTACTTATAATTTTTCTATGTGTCTACTTTTCTATCTTGATTTTGACTTTTCTACCTTACTAGTCTTCCTTTTAAATGTCTGCTTTTTACTTTTTCTGCTGTTGTCTACTTTTTGTACCTTCTCTACTTCTTCTTTTTTTAAGCTTTTATACTATACGATTTTCTAATTTATAGTATAAGTTCTTTTTTAGTTTCTATTTTTTTTTCTGTGTTTTTCTTCTTTACTTTTTAAATTCTGTGTGCTCCAGGTTTCCGAGTGATGAGCCAAGGTGGTACCAGTTTGGACAGCGAGCATGTGCAAGTGGTGCAGGGCAACATCACAAAATTTGTGTGCAAGACACAAGAACGAGTGGTTGTTCGCAATGTTGGGCTACTTCTGCGTGAGTTTCCAGAATGCATCCCGCCCAATGCTAACGAGAAGACTAACTTTTGTGTGGCTATCTTACATCATCTCAGTGTTGGGGTTCCACCAGAACAAGGTCAAGTGGTAGGTTTTCGGCGGCAGTAGTTCATAGTTAGTTTAAAACTGTTGTTGTTTCTATGTCTGTCTCATTTTTGAGCGGTGTGGGTGAAGGAAAGGCGGTTTGGAGCCTGAGGGGTTAAGTCCCTATGACTCCCTATGTGCATTCCGGGTCACCATTTACCTCTCTTTCCATAAGTATTTCCGTTTCTTTCTTCTTAAAATTTGGCAAAAAATTGTGTGTCAGTGTCTCTTTTTTTAAGTTTGTGGTAAGTTCTCTTCGGGCCCTCGACTTTAGAAACATCTGGATTACTCAGTTTAGCTGTCAAGACACAATCAGAATGAGTTTTCAAAACAGTGAAAGTCATGTTGTGCATATTCATCATCATCATGTGCCTTGCGGACTAGCATGGGCGATCATGTCTCTCCACAATCTGCGATCTCCTGTAGCGTGTATCAGTTTGTGTGCTGACACACCTCCATGCCATGCAACAAGACTGTCAAGAATCTACTCTCGTTGTCTTCCTCTATCCCTCCTTCCACAAATCTTTCCAGGGTCACAACATATAGTGGTGCTTTTATATAAATAAAAATGGTTTTCATTAAAATAATGTTTACTTTTCCTATGCATGGGAAACCTATGAGACACACCTTGTATATAAAATACAATATACATGATACATTAGGAATAGTATATTTTTTTTTTCTAAATATAAGAAATTCAGGTACGCCATTGCAGAGCGGCTAGATGCTAGCCTGCAGGTCGGAAGGTCGTGGATTTGATCCCTGGGAGCCAGACTTTTTGTTTTCAAAAATGACCTTTGCTCCCAGGTCGTCCCAGCCCTGAGTGGGTACCAGGTGCAGTCCTGGGAAGTAAAAGCAGCCAGTGTGATGCTGACTGCATCACCCATCTTGTGCTCATTGGTCTGTAAAATATAGGTGTAGCCCTATATACCCTATACACCTAAAAGCATAAAAAAGGGTTCTTTACTTTTTTTCTCTTTACTTTTTACTTCTTTTATAAGAAAATCAACATAGTAGAACATAAGAATGTATCAATAAAACCTGTTTAATTACAGGATCCTTGTTATTTGCAGATTCCAAAGTTTATCAACAACACAGATGAAATTGCAGGCTTCCTGAATGTGCTCTGGACTCCTTATCCATCATCTTTGCTGGAGACCTGCCTGGCCACCATTTTTAGCATCATCTCAGCTTCAAGGACAGAGGAGATGTCTGAGCCAGCCATCTGCCTAGCAGCAGTGGTCAAACACATCCCTATTGAGATGGCTAACAGAGTAAGTGTGGGTGCTCATAATAAATATACACAGGGGCTTGACAGTGTGTGAAGGCATAGAGAGGTAAAATAACAGTAGTACACTGGAGAAGGTATGGTTCTAACAGTAAAATACAAGTAGTACACTGGAGAAGGTATGGTTCTAACAGTAAAATACAAGTAGTACACTGGATAAGGTATGGTTCTAACAGCAAAATACCAGTAGTTCACTGGAAAAGGTATAGTTCTAACAGCAAAATACAAGTAGTACACTGGATAAGGTATGGTTATGACAGTAAAATACAAGTAGTACACTGGATAAGGTATGGTTATGACAGTAAAATACAAGTAGTACACTGGATAAGGTATGGTTATGACAGTAAAATACAAGTAGTACACTGGATAAGGTATGGTTATGACAGTAAAATACAAGTAGTACACTGGATAAGTTATGGTTATGACAGTAAAATACAAGTAGTACACTGGATAAGGTATGGTTATGACAGTAAAATACAAGTAGTACACTGGATAAGGTATGGTTATGACAGTAAAATACAAGTAGTACACTGGAGAATGTATGGTTCTAACAGAAAAATACAAGTAGTACATTGGAGAAGGTATGGTTCTAACAGAACAATACAAGTAGTACATTGGAGAAGGTATGGTTCTGACAGTAAAATACCAGCAGTAAACTATAGGAGATATGGCTCTGGCAGTAAAATACCAGCAGTAGACTATAGAAGATATGGCTCTGACAGTAAAATACCAGCAGTAAACTATAGGAGATATGGCTCTGGCAGTAAAATACCAGCAGTAGACTATAGAAGATATGGCTCTGACAGTTAAATACCAGCAGTAAACTATAGGAGATACAGCTCTGGCAGTAAAATACCAGCAGTAGACTATAGAAGATATGGCTCTTACAGTGAAATACCAGCAGTAAACTATAGGAGATATGGCTCTGGCAGTAAAATACCAGCAGTAGACTTTAGAAGATATGGCTCTGGCAGTGAAATACCAGTAGTAGGTTGGAGAAGGTATGGCTCTGACAGTAAAATACAAGTAGTACACTGGAGAAGGTATGGTTCGGACAGTAAAATACCAGTAGTAGACTATAGAAGATATGGCTCTGAAAGTAAAATACCAGTAGTAGACTATAGAAGATATGGCTCTGACAGTAAAATACCAGTAGTAGTCTTTAGAAGATATGGCTCTGACAGTAAAATACCAGTAGTAGACTATAGAAGATATGGCTCTGACAGTAAAATACCAGTAGTAGACTATAGAAGATATGGCTCTGACAATAAAATACCAGTAGTAGACTGGAGAAGGTATGGCTCTAACAGTAAACAGTGAGATTGTCAAACTCTGCAGCTTCAGCAGTGAGATTGTCAAACTCTGCAGCTTCAGCAGTGAGATTGTCAAACTCTGCAGCTTCAGCAGTGAGATTGTCAAACTCTGCAGCTTCAGCAGTGAGATTGTCAAACTCTGCAGCTTCAGCAGTGAGATTGTCAAACTCTGCAGCTTCAGCAGTGAGATTGTCAAACTCTGCAGCTTCAGCAGTGAGATTGTCAAACTCTGCAGCTTCAGCAGTGAGATTGTCAAACTCAGCAGCTTCAGCAGTGAGATTGTCAAACTCTGCAGCTTCAGCAGTGCTTCTCAGGGATCTCTGAAATGATTGCACTCACAGATGTAGCAGTGGTGTCTACTTGAAACTGAACTCATTACTTTTTAAACGTAATGCAGAACGCTTAGCCACTTCAATGCGGCGATACCCTTTCTTATCCTCATGCACTTGTAAAAAATCTTTATAACAAGATCTGCATTTCTTCTTCGTTCATCCTGAAAAGAGTGGTTGACAGTTTATTTTGTAATGTGGTTTACAGCTAGGCTGCGATGTCTGCACCTTTCAGCCCCACACATCTGATTTCGCCAAGTCTTTAAGTAGTTGCCTTTCACAACATGCTTGTTAAGGGCAGTGGGTCTATCCCCCCCCCCCCCCACCCCCGCCTTGCCCCCTTCCAAGATTAATAAGGCCCTGGAACCCACATGGGATAACCTAGGGACTACAGTTTCGGAAATTTGCGATCTTTTCGAGAATTTCCGTTACCATGGAAACCGTTTGAAACTTGTTTCGGAAATGTCGGCTGGGGTTTCGGGATGGGTCCTAATGTCTCATGAAATTTTGGGATTGGTGTGATTTTCACCCACTCTAAATGGCTGAAAACAGCGGGAAGGAATCCGATTAACAGCGCATGTCTACGACAGCCGGATGTCCTCTGTTTTTCTGTTACATCAGTTTGATTGAAAATAGCGATAAGTTTTTCAGGTTGGCTTTAGGCTTTAACTGTTACTCGTCCTGGTAATGCTAGTTATAATTGAATTCTCCGTCCAATTTTACATTTGTGTATAAAATTTCTTACTGAACGGTGGCTTGGTAGATGTACAGTGACATTTTTCAGGCAATCGCTGGCTCAGCCAGTGGCCGTGTCTCATTGCCTGCCATCTTGTCCAATGACAGTGCAATGTAAACAAAGCCGATACAGAACTGCGCAGTAGGTTGCGCAGTAAAAAACTTCTTGTTTCTGGGTCACAAGTTTTAGCGGCTGTTTCTTACATCTCATCTCCACAAAAACCTACATATCTCAGCTCAGAAATGACATACAAGCCTAAATGAGGTACCATTGGAAATAGATTGTTTACAGCTATCTAACTGTGCTGGTTTTATTGGTGTAGAGGGCATTTTAAAAATTTTACTGAAGTAGCTAGGATAACCCAGCAATCATACTTGCCTGTCTCTGGTCTCATAGCAACAATAACGGCACTCTCTAATTGTACACAGGTTGTGAAAGATGTGGTGACCGATAGGTCCATCACAGATGCATCTCTAGAAGCAGCTGTTGGTCAGATTGTGGAGTGGTTGAAGTGGCCCACAGCGGTCAATGTGGACATGTGGCTGCTGTGTTTTCTCTCTGAACTGGCCAAAGCTCAGAAGTACACACTGCTGGTGCGGATCATAGAAGCCAGTGCTGATCAGGTATGGTTTCAGGTTGGGTTAACATGTTGAGGGATACAAGTGTTCACTGCTGGTGCGTATCGTAGAAGCCAGTGCTGATCAGGTATGGTTTCAGGTTGGGTTAACATGTTGAGGGATACAAGTGTTCACTGCTGGTGCGTATCGTAGAAGCCAGTGCTGATCAGGTATGGTTTCAGGTTGGGTTAACATGTGAAGGGATACTAGTGTTTGCTGTGGTGCGGATCATAGAAGCCAGTGCTGAACAGGTATGGTTTCAGGTTGGGTTAACATGTTGAGGTATACTAGTGTTCACTGTGGTGTGGCGGTTAGACGCTCACCTGCAGATCAAAATGTTGTGGGTTCGGGTCCTGACGATGCCAGACTTTTAAAAAAAAATGACCTTAGCTCTCAGGTTCACCCAGGCTTGAATTGGTACCAGGTGCAGTCCTGGGAAGTAAAGATGGCAGACGTGATGCTGACCACATCACCCGCCAAGTGCTGATTGGTCTATAAAGTATAGGTCTAGCCCTATATGCCCAGTTCACCTTAAGGTGGGGAAAGGGTCCTTAACTTTATTGATACTAGTGTTTTCAGTGCATTATTGCATGCATCTTGATTGTCATTGCAAGAAAACTTTATTTTTAAAAACAAATGCTGTAACATCTCCCCAGTGAAGGTCAGCAACAGTGCGCTTTAGTGTCTGTCTTTGTGAATAATATATGACAAGGCTCACCAATCTGTTCCATGATGCAACACAGTACTATCATCCATCCCCTACTGAAAATACAATTTTTAAAATTTTTTCGTAGCCGTCTGTCACAGAAAGAGACCCTTGCACTTGAGGATCTTGAAACTGTTAATTGCATTCTCTTCACATTAAAAAAATTCCATCTGTGTATTATTACTTTTGAAGGTAAATGTACATTGTGCTGAATGTTTTATTTTTAATTACCTCTGTTGGTCTGCAATCTGAAGATATTCACCAAATGACTCACAGAGCCGTTATGCCAATGCTAATCCAACAGGAGCCAATCCAAGATACCTTGGTCAACTTTTTTTTTTTAAATCCAGAAACTATGAGTTGTAAACCCTTTGGCTTAGTACTGTGGATATCACAACCTTTTGGCCTTGATTCCATGATAAGTACATCTGGGAAATATGTGGCCTTTCTGCCTACCACCGAGCATTGACTCGGACCACAAGGAGTTTGTCACCCGGTCGCCATACATCTTTTTAAGCCAGCTTAGCTAGCGCGCCAGGTGTTCAACTATATAAAACAGTTATTTTTGGGCACACTTTTGTGCAGGTAAGGTTGGAATGCTTGTTGATGTATTTCTGCTTGACATTCAATGGCAGTAAACTCCTGCAAAAAATTATGTTTGTCTTGTTCCAGAACTTGAATTGTGTGTGCACATCTGTTTTACAGATCTGGTTTATTTGTGTGTAGACTGTTGGTTCTTTGCCTCTTAGGCGCAAACACTTTGAATGAAACTCCCAGTTAGTCACATTGTATGACATGCTTCACCCCCCCCTCCCCCGGCCCCCAAAAATGGGGCCTCTGAACCTACACAGTGATAACAGTTTATATTATAACTGGTGATAAGATCCATGAAAAGTTCCTTGCTGATGAGGTCTCTATTTCTTAATTTTTTCAGTCAATACATTACTTTTTAAAAAATTCTAATTAAAAAAATTTTAATTTAAAATCTCACTATATTAAAGTGCTTGTTCTTATAGTCCATTCCATGTCACGTCTACCCACAACCTTCTGTCTCGTATACTTTCATTCAGTTCTGACACAAATGGTCTCCCGCGCCATGATGTCAGACTGTCCAGCATCATCTCCGTGTGCCTCTTTTTCCATCCTTTGTTCCTACCGTCATGAATGAAGATTATTTCCTATACGAAGGTTAGAATGTGTTCATTGAAAGTTTCAAATCTGTAGGAACACGGAAAGCAGTTTAAAAATAACATAATTTCTAGCTGCAGTTTGTGTATTGCATGTGTCAGAAAATGGATAATGTGTTTTCTGTTTAGGTTGCAGAGACATTAGCTTACCCAAACCTGAGACGTGCTGCTTTTAGAGTTTTGTCCCAGATGCTTCTTGGATTTCATCACTCACCTGGGCCCTTTCATAAGGTAGGCAGGATTGTTGTACCATTTAACTTTTCAAAAAATATTTGATAGTTGTGCTTTGAGAGATAGTGTTTAAAATGTTTGGGGATTATAAACATATGAGGTATTGTTTAAAATATGTGGGGATTATAACAGTGTGAGATAGTGTTTGAAATATGTGTGGATTATAACATTGTGAGATAGTGTTTTAAATATGTTGGGAGTATAACAGCATGAGATAGTAGTTACAATATGTGGGGTATTATAACAGTGTGAGATAGAGTTTAAAATATGTGTGGATTATAACAGTGTGAGATAGTGTTTAAAATATGTGTTGATTATAACAGTGTGAGATAGTGTTTAAAATATGTGGGTATTATAATAATGTGTGGTCTCTGTGAGGAGGGGTGTAGGAAGGTTAATTACCATAATTAGTTGTTGTACCGTTAAATATCATTTAGAGTTCACAGTTTATTTGTCCATTCCTTTCTGTTGTGTGCAGTTGTTTCGATATCATGGATAGAATCCATTCCATCACCTTGGGCCTCTCTTCCATTCCATCATCTTGGGCCTCTCTTCCATTCCATCACCTTGGGCCTCTCTTCCATTCCATCACCTTGGGCCTCTCTTCCATTCCATCACCTTGGGCCTCTCTTCCATTCCATCACCTTGGGTCTCTCTTCCATTCCATCACCTTGGGCCTCTCTTCCATTCCATCACCTTGGGCCTCTCTTCCATTCCATCACCTTGGGCCTCTCTTCCATTCCATCACATTGGGCCTCTCTTCCATTCCATCACCTTGGGCCTCTCTTCCATTCCATCACCTTGGGCCTCTCTTCCATTCCATCACCTTGGGCCTCTCTTCCATTCCATCCCCTTGGGCCTCTCTTCCATTCCATCACCTTGGGCCGCTCTTCCATTCCATCACCTTGGGCCGCTCTTCCATTCCATTACCTTGGGCCTCTCTTCCATTCCATCACCTTGGGCCTCTCTTCCATTCCATCACCTTGGGCCTCTCTTCCATTCCATCACCTTGGGCCGCTCTTCCATTCCATCACCTTGGGCCTCTCTTCCATTCCATCACCTTGGGCCTCTCTTCCATTCCATCACCTTGGGCCTCTCTTCCATTCCATCACCTTGGGCCTCTCTGATCAGCGTTCATCTTAATGTTTCTCTTGGAGGTCCTTTGTTCTTCAGTCCACTTGTTTCCTATTTAAGTGCCTGTTTGGTGGTTGTTCACTGCTACCCAGGATATGTCCGTGCGTTAAAAAAAAAGAAGTTATTGCATCTATCTAAATATATAATATGTTTACATCTTTACTTAGATGCCAAGTCTTTAGAGCGATCTGTAACCAATCCAGTGTACGGAAGTAATTATGGACAGTCAGCCCGTTAGTGGCAGCTGTAGAGATGATGTGGTTTTGTTGGCGAATGATGGGTCCCCCATGGACAGATAAAAGGGCATATTGTGTATGTCTTGAGCACAACAATTGTAAAACTTTAAATGGTGGTCTAAAGGAGGTTATGTTGGGAAGCTCGCTCTCCTACAAAATACGCCTGGCCTAATCAGAACGAGCTGAAACCAAGGAGGAAACATCAGAAATGAAAGAGCAAGAAGAACACACTGGACAACAGCATAGGGAATGAGTGGTCTGGCGTAGAGAAAGGAAGCATTAAGCCTAAAGACTGCACAAATACCAGAGCTTTATCCACGAAAGTAGTGCAAATAAACGAGACCAAAATATAGCCGGAGACTGTTGGCAGCTTCGGCTAGCTAGCAGCAGGTTGAACATTGGTTAAGTTTTTAATTTTTTCTTAAAAGGAATTGGAATTGGAATGTCTTGAAAGAAATTAACTTACCAAGAGAACTGATTACTGACATTGGTACAAGACAGTCTGCGTACTTTAATCACATCATGGGAAGACCCATTTTGGAGTACATGATTTTAAAAAAAAATGGTTAGAGGGAAAAAGAGGTAGATGGAGACCAAGAGAGACAAAGCTGGATAGTTTGGCATTATGGCCTAGAATAACATATGTATGAGAAATTATTGACAGAATTGAAAAAGGCTGTGAGAAGTTACAAGGGGATCTGGCCGACGCTCAACACTCAAGTGAAAGGCGAGACGGATATACAGTCAGACAGTTACTGGTGCCATCGGAATTAAAACTCTTCACTTGCTGCTGAGAATGTGGACGGAGCACTTATGGGAGTGTCCCAAGTGCTGTAAGATCGATTCTTAATTCAACATTCAACATTCAGTGCTTGTTTGTATGAACTCAACATTTCTATATGTTTCAGTTCTTGTCTATGAATTCGACATTTTTGCTGTGTATGTTTCAGTGATTGTATAAAATTCTGGATATATGTTATGTGTGTTTCAGCACTGGTCTTTATTAATTAATTCAACATTCTGTTTCAGTGCTTGGAGAAGATTCCTATCATTGTCCACGTACTGAGGAGTGAGGGTACCCCCCAGAGTGGTGCCTTTCTGAAGGAGTTTTCTGAGCTCATTTATGACCTCATGTATCAACATACAGGCTTTCCAGAACTGTATGAGCCTGTGCTGGAGCTGATCAAGGTTAGCAGGCACTGCCTTATGTCATTCTGAAGAAGTCATAGTAGGTTTGGTTAGTTGTGTATTGAAGAATTACCACATCATATCCCAATGTTCGGTGTGGAACCTAGAGCTGCAGTAACTGCAAAGACTATATTGTCAGGAGACATTCGGGCTACAGTAACTGCAATAACTATGTTTCATGAGGTACCTAAAGCTGCAGTAACTCCAGTAACTATATTTCCAAGGGAACCTAGAGCTGCAGTAACTACATTTCCTGAAGAATTTATGAGTGCAGTAACTGCAGTTTTCTTTGGTACATTTCAGTGAAACCTTTACTTGAAATAAGTGTTGCAGCTGTGTTCCCAGAGAAATCTTATTCATATCTGCAACAACTCTGATCCCAGGGAAATCTATTTCTGCAATATCTGCAACAACTCTGTTCCCTATGAAATCTAATTCTGCAGTATCTGCAACAACTCTGTTCCCAGAGAAATCCAATTCTGCAGTATCTGCAACAACTCTGTTCCCTATGAAATCTAATTCTGCAGTATCCGCAACAACTCTGTTCCCTATGAAATCCAATTCTGCAGTATCTGCAACAACTCTGTTCCCTATGAAATCTAATTTTGCAGTGTTCCCTGGTCCTTATTGTTGATATAATAGCAACAACAATCTTTATAAGTAATTGTAATCTGTCGTCAGAAGTTAATAGTATGAGTGATAAGGCAATAGTGATGTTGTAAAGATATTAATAATCACACTTGTCTTTCTAGTGGAAAGACAGCTGTACAACAGCTGTAAAATGTAGATGACTCGGAGTAACATTTGGGACAGAAGGGGTTAATGTTACAGCTGGATATGTATCATAAACAGCATCCTGCACTGAAAGCTGGGAGTGGTTACAGTATTGGGCTCTCATGCGAGAGACCCGGGTTCGACCTTCCAGTACGGTGCTGGAGTTTTGTCAGGGGCAGATTTAAACATCCTAACCTGCACAGTCCATGACGACAGCACTAGCCCTACGGCCCCAAATCCTCAGGCTCATGACACCCGCTTCTCCACAGCCCTGAAAAGTGGTAAATACAGACAGTTTTGGGATAGTTAAACATCATGGTGGCCTGGAGAGAATAGTGATGGAGGGTACAGTTTCCTGAAAACAAGGGGATGGCAGACCTCAGCAAAGACACTGAAGATACATTGGTTAAGAAAGCACATAGGGCTGGGGAATTGGCTAGAGAAAGAGACACTTTAGGCGTGTCATAACAAGAGCGACGTTCTGTCAAGGGCCTTTTTGATTGATGATGATGGATATAATCAGATAGTAAAGAGAAAATATTTTATGTTTGGGAGTTCAGACAAACCCATGGGAAATTGCCCATTACCGAACAAATTATTTGTATTTCTAGGACTTTCCCCAGCCAAGTGTAGACGAAATCAAAATCAAACTAAATCAGATCCGATGGCTGACACAGGCTGGCTGTACCAGTGTCATAGAGACTGCAGCACCGTCTTTGTTGGTCAGCGCAGTCAAGCAGGAGAAGCTGGAGCTTGGAAAGACTGGCTTGGAGAACCTGGGAAACACATGTTATATGAACAGTGTGTTACAGGCCCTGTATATGTGTGATCAGTAAGTTGTATTTCATTGTTTATGTGTGATCAGTAAGTTGTATTTCATTGTTTATGTGAGATCAGTAAGTTGTATTTCATTGTTTATGTATGATCAGTAAGTTGTATTTCATTATTTATGTGTGATCAGTAAGTTGTATTTCATTGTTTATGTGAGATCAGTAAGTTGTATTTCATTATTTATGTGTGATCAGTAAGTTGTATTTCGTTGTTTATGTGAGATCAGTAAGTTGTATTTCATTGTTTATGTGAGATCAGTAAGTTGTATTTCATTGTGTGTGTGAGGTCAGTAAGTTGTATTTCATTGTTTTTGTGAGGTCAGTAAGTTTTAGGATACTGTACATGTGTAATCAGTAGGTTGTACTGCGTTATATATGTGTGATCAGTAAGTTGTATTTCATTGTATATGTCTGATCAGTAAGTTGTATTTCATTGTTTTTGTGAGGTCAGTAAGTTTTAGGATACTGTACATGTGTAATCAGTAGGTTGTACTGCGTTATATATGTGTGATCAGTAAGTTGAATTGCCTTGTATTTGTGAGATCAAACACCAGTGTTCCAGTGCAAAGACATTCTAATTATACTGTTCTCAGGTTTTCTCAGCGTGTATCCTATCCAATGCTAGCATCTTTTCTTCACCTGTTGGTCCACTGGAATTTGTTTAGTTCTCTCCCTCTAAAATATTTAATTTCCAAACTACTTCCATTGTTCTTCCTACACCGTTCAAAGTTCTAGCATCCCAGATGTCAATTCTGGAGGTTTTCCTAGTTGAGAAGAGGTATGTCGATGGTTCTGAATACACATTATTACACCAGTATTAAAATTAATTACTTCACTGCCTCAAACGGCTCACCATTTATAATTTTATATACCATTCACCATTGGTATCAATAGTAATAGAGTAACGTACTGCATTTATTTCAAATGTTTAGCCATGTTTCTGACTCAGCTGTGTGGACATAACCAATGTTTAAGACCCCATGTGTGCGATGAAGAGATCGGTTGACATTCAACACTCTAGGGAAAGACAAAATGGACATACAGTCAGATTGGAACAGTCGTCCCAATACTTGGTTTGCTTTACTGCATCTGATGTTAATGTCTTCATCCAGTTCAGTTTAGGGGTTTGTTTCACTTAGTATCAAATTTGATTTTAAAATACTTTTCTGTTATTAGGTTCCGTCGAGGTGTGCTCGCTAGAATCCCGCTGGGAAAGGAAGGACTCCTAGTCAAGTTGCAACATGTTTTTGCTCAACTCAGTCAGTCGTCTGTGAGTATGCCATTTTTGTTGTTGTTTAACTTGAAAAATATTTGATCTTTTTGTACAAAATTATGTGATTAGTCAGGATAATCATCGCAGCACTCCAGGCAGATCCATAGGTGCTGCAGTCTTCTCCTCAAGAGCTCTGCAAGTGTAAAATGACTGATGAAGCCTCTTGTGTGTTGACTAATCAAACATCTTTTCCCCTTACGGGTAATGAACATGCTTTGGATCTTTTCTTCAGGCCATGGCGGCATAGTGGGTAATGAACAGGCAGACAAATTGGCTGGATCTGCACCACTGGGTGGTGAATTGATACATGACAAGGCAGATGTGGTCAAGGCCCTTTGGAAACAAGTAGCAGAATCAGCAGAGAAACAAGATAATTATGGCCTGGAGAGAATGAGGCACCTGGGTGTAACCAGAGGGTCTGGCCGGCTCACTACACTCAGAGGAAAGGCAAAAGGACAAATAACCAGATTATGACCCGTACAATCATTATTGGAACTGTGCGCTGGCTGCTGAAGATGAGGACGTAGCACGCATGGGAATGCCCTGAGTGCTATGATGTCAAGTCTTGACTCAACTCAACTCAACATCTTGTCCCCTTAGTGCAATGTTTATTTCTTGCAACCCCAGGTTGCACCCCTATGTCCATTATTAGGCTGGACAGGGATACAGAATCATGCTCTTTATCATATTTGTCTTCGTGGTAAGTACTGTGCATGGAATTGAAAACATTGCTTCTGTCCAGTACTGGACCATATTAACTGCAGTGTCTGCAAGATAATCAACACGTTCATCGCCTCGAACACCCCCATTACCTGGCACAAAGATGGCAGTTAGGCCAGCCATTCACAAAGTGCTTAGTGATAGAATCTATTCTTTACTGATGAGTCCGGTCTGATTTTGTCCATGTGGTCATTAAATGTTGTCCACTATGTATTAGCTATATAAAGGTGATAGTAGCGGACGTAAAGACTGTATACAGATAATTGCTTACGACAATACACATTGTATTTCCTCCTATGGGTTCTGGGGCCCCATTGTGAAGGCAAATAATAAAACCACTGCCCCATAACAAGCATGTCATAAAATGTGACTAATTAGAGATGTTTCCTCCTAAATTGGAGTGCATATACCTGAAAGGCCAGGAACCAGCAGTCTGCACACAAATAGGCCCAATCTTTAAAATGGGCATACATACAGAACTCAGGTTCTGGAATAAAACTAAACTTTAGGAACGGTTGAGCAGCCAGGATTTTTTGTCGACATGTACACTTTTTTACAAAAAGAAGATTTAAATGCTATTGCTGATCACAGTACAGTCTGTAGACAGAAAAATTTCATCACAGTATATCATGAAGAAGTGTTTTTGCTTGAATTGTTCATAAAACAAATTTGTATACTTAATGTTTCATAACAAAATCTTTGTAAATTTTTTTTTTTTTCAAATATGTTTTGCTTGATTGCTCATAGCTGTTAGTGATTAACAAAGAAATATAAAATTATATTTTATCATTTATACAGAAATAAGTAGTGCTTGATTGCCAATAAATGTTTTAACTCTACTTCTGCAGCGTCCAGCCATAGCCCCCAGCAAGTTCCTGCAGAGCTCAAGACCCCCATGGTTTCTCCCTGGACACCAGCAAGACTGCTCAGAGTTCCTGAAGTACCTGCTAGACCAGCTGCACGAGGACGAGAAGTCTTCTGCCTCTAACCTGGGCATGAAGAAAAGTCAGTCGGCAGGATCCATCTCACCAAATGGGACCATCAAAATAAACACAGGCACTCTGAGTAAAGCTGAAAGAAGGAAGGCTGTTGTCATGCTGACGTCATTAAAGATGAAGACAGAGGATGAGATAAACAGTGTTAATGGCTCAGGGGCAGGTAGCTTAGAAAATGATAAGTGTTCAGAATCCATTCAATCCCTTGTTGAAAGAACTTTTAGAGGTAAAGTCCAAACGACCCTAAGGTGCCTTGCATGCCAGAAGGTTTCTTCGAGAGTCGAAAGCTTTGCAGACATTCCTCTGGCTTTCCCGAATTCATCACGGCCTATGGAGTATCTACAGAAAAATCTGGCAGGGGGTAATGATGTCGCCGGCGCAGATGTTGCCATGGAGAGCATGCAGTCTGATGCTGCCGTTGACGTGGATCTTTCAAAACCAAATGATTCTTCCTTTACTTTGAATGACCTCATTTCGTTTTATCTGAAACCCGAGAAACTAACGGGGGACAATATGTATCAGTGTGATCAGTGCGGCAAACTCCAAGATGGAGAGAGAACCATTCAGATTGTAGAGTCCCCTCACTACCTTATCCTCACTCTTCTGAGATTCTCGTATGATACCAAGCTTCAGACAAGAACAAAGATATTTCAGGACGTCCGTTATCCTCGCACACTTGCCGTACCTGTCTGTGATGCATTATCAGCTGTGTCCAGAGATGAAAAACCAGATTTCCAGAAACATTATGCAAGAAGTAGCAGCTGTGCCAGTCCCAGGAATGGTGCAGATTTGGTTGATTTATATCAGGCTAAACTGGAGAACATTGCTGCCCGCCTGGCACCAGAATGTGAACCATCTACTCAGGTACCTACCAGATGTGATCTCTATGGCTTGACCAGTGTGATCGTCCACTCTGGTGCTTCGTCGGAATGTGGGCACTATTACTGCTATGCTCGCCACTCCCAGACTGGGCAGGTCAGTGCCAAGCTTCTAGACAAGGTCAGTGACAACAACCTGGGCAACTTGGACCTGCTCTCGGACAGGTGGTACAGTTTTAATGACAGCCGTGTCTCTCATGCCACATTTGATTCTTTCAGGTGAGTAGAACATAATTCTAAAATATTCTTGATGAATTTAATTTTCAGATTTATTAAGAGGGCCAGATCTGGCCCACGGGCCGCTAATTGAATAGCCCTGCGTGAGTGTTTCTTATCTGATACATGGTACAATAATTAGAAGTTTTAATCCTAAATCAGCCATATCTTCTTCTTCATGTTCACTTCTGGACTTAAGTCATTAAGTCTTGTCCTAGTACCTCTGTTTTGTAGGTAGGTAGATAAGTTGTACCCCACCAGGACACCACACAAGCGACAAACACCTGGTGACACAAAATACCACCACACAGATGAGGATCACCCGTGGAGAGGTCCCGGAAACTCCGTTCAGCCAGTTAGGCCACATTCAAGGCCCGGCTATATTTAGGGCCCCTGACAAAAGCCAGGGTGGGACTTCAAAATAACTAAAAATTAAAATCTGTATGGGAATGACTTATTTAAAGTACTGTTTTGTGTGCACATCCATTTGAAAAATCTGCCTTATTTGTAAGCAGACTTTTCCTAGCTTCTCTGGCAGATGCACTGCGACTTGGACAAAAACACCCCTAACTAGTTGACTATTATGACATGCTTGTCAGGGAGGGCAGTGGGTGTGTTTTTTGTGTCCTAAAAATGGGGCCCTATAACCCGCATGGGGACCAATGGGCCATATTAAATTCTATAATGGCTTGGAGAAAAATTGACGAAGGTTATGGTTCCCGGGAGAAGAGGCAGGATTCCACCAGCACAGTATTGAACACAGGGGAGCTAAATTGCCAGGGAACCGAGTGACATTTTGGTTTGCCTTGATGACAGGGACTTTCTCCACTGTACTTGCTGCTTGATGGTGACGATGTCACAGATCTCTGGGCAGGTCATGTAGAAAGCCCTTGAATGTTGCTGTTAGTAATCTAGTATTAATAAAAGGAAAAATGTCCAACCCTTGAATTGTATGGATCTTATATGTAGCCTATTTTTCTTAAGGACTAATTAGCACTCTTTGGCAGCCTTGGATTCCGAAAACATTTTCTGGGTTAAATGGTAGGTAGGCAGTTTTTCCCCTCCAGAATTGTTGTCTTCTTAACATCTGAAGGGTGGAAATCCTACATCTACAAATCCCAGAAGCCCTATTCAAATGCATAGCAGTTTTTTTGTTTTTTTTTTAAATATCCAGAAACAAGGAGTTGTTAACCTTTTGGCTCGGTACTATGGATATCGCAACCCTTCGGCTTTGATTCCATGATAAATACTGCAAATCTGGGAGAAATGTGGCTTTTTTGCCTACCCCTGGGCGTGAACCTGGACTATAAGGAGTTCGTCACCCGGTTGCTGCACAGTCGGGTTTAAGCAACTGAGCTAGCGAGCCGGGCATTCATAGCAGTTAAATTAGGACCCTCCAGTGGTTAGATAGTAATCTGAATTCCTGACCAGGCAAGGTTTAAATGGATTGGAAGTTGTGATGTCCACTTCTGACTGATGCAGAGCTGGTTCAGTTACATAGCCTGAAATGTGAAATTTGATGAACATTGTCACGGGATAGGGATTGTTGCTATTGCGTCTTGTGTAATGTATAAGATATCTGATCTTATCAGGCAGTGTAAAAAAAACCTGGAGGACTAATGCACATGTCAGTAATAAAATCGAACCACATTAATTTTTATTTTCAAAAATGAACTTTGCTCCTAGATCGACTCAACCACAAATGGGTACCAGGTAAACTCCCGGGAAGTAAAGGTGGCTGATTGCATCACCGACTAGGCACCGATTGGCCAATAAAAATTTGATTCCAGCATCATATCCTAATGTGCCTCTGACATAAATAAAACCAGTCATTTACTTACTTTATTTTTTAAACATTTCAGGCTCTAGAGAAAAAAAAAGCTTAAGTAACAGATCAGTGTACCTAGTTAAGTAGTAATTTTGATAGTGAAGGAAACACACAGAAATAAATTTTGATACACTTGGCAACAGCAATTTTTAGATGCTTGAACAAAATATTGAGTTCAAAATTACGCAGTTTTAAAACCAAATTAAAAAGTGCAGTTGTAGTGTTATTTTAATTTTAAACAATGCCAGTGAAAGTTGGAGCACTGTTTTAGACATGGAACGAAAGTTAAATGCTTTTGAAAACAAATACCTGAGGAAAACTGATTAAGTAAAAGTAAAGGTCCCTTTTCCACACCTTTAGGTGAATTGGGCATATAGAGGTAGATCTATATTTTTATAGACAAATCGGCACAAGATGGGTAATGTGGTCAGCATTCAGCCAGCCGCCCTTACTTCCTGATACTGCACCTGGTATACACTCAAGGCTCGGTTGACCTGGGAGTCAAGGTCATTTTTTTAAGTCTGGCTCCGCCAGGGAGCGAACCCACAACCTTCCGATCCACATGTGAGTGTCTAGCTGCTATCCCTGAAGAAAATGATTCACATTTTTTTTAAAAATTTTAAAAAGTAAAAACCCTTTTCTTCACCTTTAGGTGTATTGGGCATATAGGGCTAGACTTATATTTTTATAAACCAACCCGCACTTCATGGGTGACATGGTTAACACCCCGGTTGCCTTTACTTCCCAAGACCGCACCTGATAACCACTCAAGGCTGAGTTGACCTGGGAGCCAAGGTCATTTTTGAAAAAAGTCCAGCTCTATCAGGACCTGAACCCACGACCTTCCAATCTGCAGGCAGACGTCTAGCCACCACACCACAGCGATTTCCCTGGTAGACATTAAAGGGGATGAATTCAAGAAAAGTGACAAAAATGAGAGAAATATCTGAACAACCGGTGGTGTGAACAGCTCCCCAGCATCCAGTTGTGTCTGTGTTTTTGTCTGCTTGTTGAATGTTGAATCAAAAATCGACATCACAGTACTCGGGACACTCCATTGCTCTGTCCCCATCTTCAGCAGCAAGCGAAGAGTTCCAGTTCTGATGGCACCAGTAGCCGTCTGACTGTATATGCATTTCATCCTTCCCCTGAGTGTTGAGCGTCGGCCAGATCCTCTTGTAACTTCTGGCAGCGTCATTCTCCTCAGACCGTAATGATCTATTTGCGCATCTGTTCCCAAAGTACCGTCACAATATCTAGCTTGTCATACATGAGTTCACCACCAAGTGGTGTAGAACCAGCCAGTCTATCTGCCTGCTCATTTTCCAATACACCGGCATAACCTGGAGAAAATATTTTTGTCTTCAGCAATGTTACAAAGAAATTCTCCAAGGACACCGCATATGTGCTCATTTACCGCAAACTAGCCTGTGAGGATCTCGTCCTGGGTGCCAACGTGGAGCCAGTCTTGCGGTCAGACTTAAGAGATGCCGTCATCAAAGACAATGAGCTTTATCTCAAGGTAAGAAGCACATTGTTATTGATTGTGCAGTGTTTGGGCTGTTATCATCATACTGTTCATCAGTTCTCTCACATAAGGCTTACATTCTAGTCTTCCATTTTGTTTTATCTTGTGCAGTCCCTTCAGTATCATGAATGGAATTCAGTTCAGCACCTTTGGCCTCTCTCAACAACATTTGTCTTTGGGTTTCTCTTGGACTTTTCCTTGTTAGCTCAGTTCATTTGTTTTTGCAATTGTGATGCTTCTTTGGTGATTCTCCTCATGATGCGCCACCTTCTTTTTCTTATTAAAAAAACTGCCAATGACTGACTTTATTATACCACTTTTGCGGTGCCTTACCGAGGATTCACACCTACCCCAACTTGAGTGCCCAGTGTTCCAACCGTTCGTTCGGCCAGTCATTCCTCTTTTTTCTTATAATTGTTGATAAAACTCTTTCACTTGATAGACCCCATTAACTCTTTCAGTCCCAGGGGGTTTATCATCAGAGGCCTAAGGGGTAGTCAAGAGACACATAAAATCAGCCTATTTTGTGTTCATTGGGCTACTAGTTAGGTACCTTTAAGCATATGATACATTCCTTGGGACTAAAAGAGTTAACAAAAAGCTTCTTTAGTTTTCATGGGTATAAAAACCATTGTGAGGTCTTCAACATTCTTGAGTGTCAGATCCATTGTGTAAAGTCTTCCTTAGTACCTTTGAGTATGAATACCATGGTGTGGAGATTCTCTGCAACATCTTTGGGTAGAATTACCATGGTGTAAGGGTCTTCCTCTACATCTTTAGATATAAATACCATTGTGTAAAGATCTTTTTCAGTGTCTGTGGGTATATATATATACACCATGGGTACAGATGTGTTTCAAGATCCTATGAGTATAAATAATAAGGTGTAAAGATCTTTTTCAGCATCACTGAGTGAAATATACCATTGTATGTAGATCTTCCTCAACGTCTTTATTTCTTCAAATACCATGGTATAAACATCTTTTTTTTTTGGCATTCTTGGATATAAATACCGTGGCCGAAAAAATCTTTAACATCCTTGGGTATATATTCCATGGTGAAAAGATCTTCAGTATTCTTGAATGTAAATACTATTGGGAAAAGATCTTCCTCAACATCCTTGGGTGTAAATACCACGGTGGAAAGTTTAAAAAAAAATTTTTTTTGGGTAGAAATACCATGGTAAAAAGATATTTAGTATTCTTGCATGTAAATAATCATGATTTCTTCAACATTCTTGGATGCATACACACACACGCGCGCGCATGCATTCACACACATATACATACACATATCTGCAGCACATTGATCATTTTGAGAGTTCATTTGTGAAATCTAGCCAGTATCAGAGTCTTTATTATATCACAGTATCCACCAGCTGATTGTTTCCTGGCTGCCGTCCACCCGCATACCTATCAAATTAGCATCAAATCTTATTTCTTTTTTCAAAATTTACCTTGACCCCCAACTCAACCCAATGGATGTCAGATAATGTCAGGAGAAGTAACATTGGCGAGTGTCATTTTGGCTGCATCAGCTTCAGAGTGCCAGTTGGTCTATAAATGTAGCCTGGCATCATATGCTCTGTCCGCCACCGGCGGGGTAAAAGGTCCTTTACTTTGATTATTTACCCCACCCTGAATAGTTAAAGATTCACCGTGGTGTAGCGGCTAGACGCTCGCGTGCAGATCGGAAGGTCCTGGGCTCACTCCCTGGTGGAGCCCGACTTGTGTCAAAAATGACCTTGACTCTCAGGTTGACCTAGCCTTGAGTGGGTACCAGATGCAGCCCCGGGAAGTAAAGGCTGCCAACTTTATGCTGACCACATCACCCATCTTGTGCCGATTGGTCTATAAAAATATAGGTCTAGTCCTATATGCTCTATATGCCTAAAGGCGTGGAAAAGGGACCTTTACCCTGAATAGTTGTTTACTTAAAACAGATGGATCCATGGTGCAGACAAAAAGAGTGTGTGGTAAATTTGAAATTGCTGTGGTAATCATGCAGCTAATCTTGCATTTCAGGCAGTGAAATGTAGAGTGTAACTAGAGACATTCTAAGTTGTGTATTCCAGTGGAAAGGATTAATTTTGTATGCTTCATTATATGTTGACATAACTCCAGAAGAGATGCAGTGAAATGTAGAGTGTAACTAGAGACATTCTAAGTTGTGTATTCCAGTGGAAAAGATTCATTTTGTATGCTTCATTATATGTTGACATAACTCCAGATGAGATGCAGTGAAAACATGCTAGGCAGTAAACAGTACAATGGGTGCTTTATTAATATCCTAACCCAAAAAGGGAAACTCCACAGGTCACGGGACAGTCTTATATTTCAGGGGGTGGTAGATAGGCGGCATGCAGTCGTGGGACCTAGGCTGCACTCTCTCATGGGGTGTAGGTAGGTTGGGGTTAGCGCCAGTCCTATATGTTTTGGAGTCGTTAAAAGCATCAGAAAGCCAGGAAACCCAGTCTTACCACCCTCTAAAATGTTGGACTGTTGTGTGACGTCATCTGGGGTAAGATATTAATAAAGCACCGTAAACTGTACAGTGTTTTGTTTATGTCAGCATTTGTTATTTTAACAGTGAGTTTCTGTTATCTGATTGCCAGGAACAAGAGTTAGAAGCCAGAGCCAGGGAGGAGCAGAGGCGCCGCAGATCATCCTCTGTGAACTCAGCCAACCTTAACAACTGGCAGAACAGAGATGACGATGATGACGACTCACACAAAGGCCACCCTGGATACACAAGTGGCATTGGCAGCGGCCTGGATATTACGGGGTCCAGATTTGTGTTCTAGGGAGCAGCGATGTAGAGAAAATATCATCTATGCATGTCTCAGCTTCCCCAGTCTCACGAGGTCTTCTCAATAAATAAAGTGAAAACAGTAAACTAAAGAATTAAGAAACGACATCATAGCACTTGGAACACTTCCATAAGTGCTCCATCCCTATCTTCAGCAGCAGGCGAAGAGTTCCGATTCCAGTGGCACCAGTGACTATCTCATTGAATATCCATCTCACCTTTCCCTTGAGTGTTGAGCGTCAGCCAATCACCTGGTAGTTCTTTGCAGCACTTTTTTCCTCAGACCACAGTGATCTATCTGTGCCTCTGCGCTGTTCACTCGCTTCCAAAGAGCCCTCACAACATCTTGCTTGTCATACATTACTTCATCACCAAGTGCTGCAGAACCGGCCAGTCTGTCTGGCTTATTATTTCACAACACACAGCAGTAACCACAAGGATCTGTTTTATGTCACTAGTAGGCCAGGTATTTGATGATAATTAGTCAACAGGTCCTTTACAGAATATCGCTTCCATCACGGCACACCTGAAAGCCTCTTTTTTTCTTCAGCCAATTGTCCAACCCCCTGTGCTTTCATAACCAGTACATCTTCAGTGTCTTATGTCCACCCGAGGTCTTTCTCTGCCTTGTTTTCCAGAAACTATACCATCCATCGCTATTCTGTCCATCCCACCATAATGTTTAACGTGGCTGATATACCAAAACTATTGGGACAGGATGCTGTTTATGAACCAGTTCTCCTCGGTGCTCACATCATGTAGAATGTTGGCATTTTTCATCTTCTTGGTGGATGGTATTCTAATATTTTTTCTGTAGCATTTCATTGTATATGCTGCAGGCCATTTGGTCAGTCTTTTAATTGCCAGGGTTTTATTTGGTACCCAATTAAGGCTGGATCAATCTGGATTTATAAATCTGACTCGCTGCGGATTTGTTTGAACCCAAGACCTTTTGGCCAGCAGGAAAGCATCTAGCGATTATGCTACCACAGCTACCAGTAAAGGAAATAACAAAAAAAAAAAAAAAAAAAATGAGTTTAATGCTTTTAAAAGGGTTAATTCCAAAATGGCCACTGAAGAAGGCCAGGTTTCTTTAGTACTTTCTGGTCAAATTACAGGAACACATGATAGATCTGACCACCGAAGAAGGCCAGGTTTCTTTAGTATTCCCTGACCAAATGTGAAATTACTGGAACACATGATGTGTTTTTTGTGTCTGAAGTAGTTAATAGTATCCGGCATCTTTCTGCTACACAGTTTTAATTAGTTTTATTTAAATTTGTTTGTATGAATCATGTGTGTTGAATAATTTCATGCGTATTATTTTCCTTATGGTCAGTGCAGTTTAAAAATTCTGTGATCATAGTAATTTAATATGAAAGATTTGTAGTGCCCCCCTCCCCCACCCCAATTCCCGTGTGTGGGTTCAGGAGCCCTATTTTCTGGGGCCGCAGAAAAGATCCACTGCTATTTAACGAGTATGTCATAAGAGGCGATTGATTAGGGGGTCTGCAGGATGTGTTGAGCTGAAAGGTACAGATATCAGCTATTGTTGCTCTTGAAATGGTTAAATGAGTCATCTAAATAAGTATTGTTATTATCTTTGCATGATGTAACAAGCTAGAGGTCCCGGGTTCAAGCCCCGGTGAGGACTGGGATTTTTTTAACGTGGAATTCTATTAATTTCCCCCTGGTCTCTGGGTAGTGAAACTGGACACATGTATGTATTGTTGCGCACATAAAAAATAGTTTTGCAGTTGGAAATTGAAAAGAGTAGCCTAACGTAGCTGAGATTCTACTGACAGGCTTGAGTTAGAAGAAGAACAAAGCACTTATAGGTTACACTGGCTTTGTGAGCCAGTTAAAATTGATTTTAATTATTGTCTATTACTATCTATGATGTAATGAGTTAGTGATGATTGTTGGAGCTAACATGATAAACTGAATCAGTAACAGATATTGGCAGTTTGAAACTATAGTTCTGTTTTCACTTGATTTACAAAAATCAATTAAACAGTTTTTCAATTCATGCTCACATGATTAATAAGTTCATAATTTCTTTTTTTCAGCTACCCTCTTTAATTTTGTCACTGTGTGTCCTACTCAGTCTCATAAATTTCCAGCACTTCTTGATTTGCTGGACTTTGTTAAGTTTCCCCTGCTACTTTTTGCATTTGTGATTCTGCTATGCCAATATATTTCTTCTCTTCTGCACAGGCAAGCGTCGGTAGATGTTTATAGTTTATCAGTATTTGTTTAGTTCATATTGTTCGTGCAGTCTGATCAAGGTCGTCAATTAACTGGCCTCACTTAATGGGGGGGGGGGGGGGGGGGGGGGGGGGGGGGGGGAAGTCACTTGATTCATTTAACTGCCTGCTCCCTGAGGGTATTCAGTATATTAGCCAAGTTTGGTGCTCCTCCACTTTCTACTGAAGCTCTCTGCCTGCCAGCATGTGTAGCAGTTTGTTTATTGCCTCTTACACTGGTGGGGGTTACTGGCTTTCATCAGCACTGACCTTTTCAGAAACTTCAACTACCATCTTCTAGGCCAGCCAATCTTGATCTTCCAAAGTATATTCTTTGAATGAGAGAGAAGCCATGTCAGATGAAAGTCTGTGTCTCCAACACTCAAGGAAAAGACAAAACAAATATATATATATCATACACCAGTTTCCCTTTCCTTCAAAGTTGGATTGCCTCTGCCTGAAACAAGCCAGATTTGTAAAACGGATGTGCATGCAAAACTCAAGTTTTGGAACAAGGTTGAAGTCAAGAAGTGGACGAAAAACCAGAAGTTTCTGCCAGAGTTTACAGCTAGTGAATGTAAAGAAGAAAAAGACACCAGATGAAAGTATCTGTATTGGAACTTAATGCTGGTTGCTAAAGAGGGGGACAGAGAACTTATGGGATTGCCTTTAGGGCTGTTTTTTTGTGTGTTCTTATCTGCACTCATTCTGTATCTATAGCCAGACAAACAACTGTAGTTTAAAAAATACCTCTGTGACATTGTTTATTTAGTCCAGTAATTATCATTCTCATCAGTAGACCAAACCATTTCATCTGTTCTCTTGAATGATTTGCAGGACTCAGTTCAATTCTGGTCTTCTTCTCTTTGAATTTTTCTTTTCTTGTTACTTCTGCTGGGTCAGTTTGGGAGCTGTCAGGTATTTAAAGAAAAAATCTGCATTCATGCAGATTCAAACTCGAGACCTTTTAACAACAGGCAACCTTCTGTCACACTGTTCTACCATGGCTCTTCCATATGGTTTTAATATAGTTATCAACTCTTTCAGTTCCAAAGAAATCACCATACATTTCATGGTGTTTCCAAAAATAATGTAATTACATTTCTTTGAAATGCCTGGCTCAAGTAGTTTGATAAGTTCCACTGAAACTACTATACCTGTTACAAGCTGGACTCTAAAAGTTGGGTCGAGAACAAATGTGTGGCAATGTGACGAAGAAATTAATTCAGACAAATCACCTGATGAAGAGGAGCTAACATCACACAAAGCTCAGTATGACAAGGCTAATGGCTAGGGTGCTAGTAAAAATATTGACAGGTCAATAAGAGGGAGGGAAGACGGTGAAATTGGTGATGATGTTGATAAGAATCTGAACATTGTTTGTTTATTCAATGGATCAACATCATGGCACATGGGTGTAACCCATAAGTGCTCTGTTCTACTTCTAACTCAGACCTGAGTCTAAATAATCTCAGCACAGTGCATGAACTCCATTGCACCGGTGAGGACCCTGAAATAATTTTGGTATTTGTTTAATTCCAAATTTTGCCTGGGCAGCGCCGTTAGGCTACTCTTTTTCGATTTTCAACTGCCAAGGTATTCGTTTTTTCTTCCAAAAGCGCAACAATACACACGGACGTCCAATCTTACTACCTAGAGACTAGGGGAAATTACTAAAGTTAGGTTCATGTGAAGAAATCCCAGCTGTCACCAGGGTTTGAACCTGAGAGCTCCAGCACTCGAGGTGGATGCCATACCTCAAGACCACTCAGCCTACACACTAAAGATAGTGAACTTTCTGACGCCTATGCCATGTTGACAAATTGCCTATGTAGAACCATTTATAATGTTCTTGTCATCTATCATAGACCAATGTCTTGAATGATTAGTTTAGCTATTTGTGTATGACAGATGTCTTTAGAAGACTACTGAATCTCCACTGGAGAAATTTCAGATCCAGTACACAAATAAGACAAGAGACCCGGCAAGATAATGGATCAAATGTTATTAGGAAGCGTCACTAGAATTACATTGACCATGCACTCAGAATTGATAAGTAAGACAACATCTTCCCCCATCCAGCCCTCATATGGACACCGGAAGGGAGAAGAAAACAGAGAGACCAAAATAGAATCTGCTCAGAGCCATCATCAGGGAAGGCTCAAATATAAGCCTAAGAAATATCCAAGACCTAAAACAGGTGGCAACGAACTGCCAGACATGGAGAACTGTGACCTCTGCCCTATGCGCCACCTCAGGCGCAAGAGGAAAGACTAATTTCTGTATAATAATATCTCCGTTTAACAATTTCAGACCTAAAACAGGTGACAACGAACCGCCAGACATGGAGAACTGTGACCTCTGCCCTATATGCTGCCTTAGGAAAGACTAACTAAATTCTCTATAATAATGTCTCTGTTGAACACTTTCAGACATAAAAATTGTGATTACTTTTAAGCCCAACATCTGGGAATAGGAAAGGTTTAAAGTAACAACTTTTTGGGACCTGTAAGTCTGAAAATAGAGCTCAGATCAATTGTTGGAATAACAGGGAATTTATTTCCACCCCGCTCACTGCTGCTTGTTTGATAATATTTTTGATTTATTTATTCAGTTTATATTCCGCTAAGTCAAAGCTTCCCAAACTGTGTGTTGCGATACATTAGTATATCAGCTGCCATGTGAGGGTGTGTCACATGAATGTAAAACATGAGCAGAATAATCCCAAATGTATTATTTTTTACAAACC